GACAAAGAAGGGCATTACATAATGGTAAAGGGATCAATGCAACAAGAAGATCTAACTATCCAAAATATATATGCACCCAACACAGGAGCACCTAGATTCATACAGCAAGTTCTTCGAGACCTACAAAGAGACTTAGACTCCCACATATTAATTGTGGGATCCTTTAACACTCTACTGTCAATATTAGACAGATCAATGAGACAGAAAATTAACAAGTATATCCAGGACTTGAACTCAGATCTAGACCAAGCGGACCTAATAGACATCTACAGAATTCTCCACCCCAAATCCACAGAATATACATTCTTCTCAGAACCACATCACACTTGTTCTAAAATAGACCACATAATTGGAAATAAAACACTCCTCAGCAAATGCAAAATAATGGAACTCATAACAGTCTCTCAGACTACAGTGCAATAAAATTAGAACTCAAGATTAAGAAACCCACTCAAAACCATGCAACCAAATGGAAACTGAACAACCTGCTCCTGAATGACTACTGGATAAATAATGAAATAAAGGTAGAAATAAAGATGTTCTTGGAAGCCAATGAGAACAAAGACACAACATACCAGAATCTCTGGGGCACATTTAAAGCAGTATGCTGAGGGAAATTTATAGCACTAAATGCCCACAAGAGAAAGGAGGAAAGATCTAAAATCAACACCCTAATGTCACATTTAAAAGAACTAGAGGAGCAAGAACAAACAAATTCAAACGCTAGCAGAAGACAAGAAATAACTAAGATCAGAGCAGAAGTGAAGGAAATAAAGACACAAAAAACACTTAAAAAAATCAATGAATCAAGGAGCTGGTTTTTTGAAAAGATCAACAAAATAGATAGACCACTGGTCAGACTAATAAAGAACAGAAAACCAAACACCACATGTTCTCACTCATAAGTGGGTGTTAAGCAATGAGAACACATTTACACAAGGCGGGGAACATCACACACCAGGGCCTGTCAGGGGATGGGGTCTAGGGAAAGGGTAGCAGGGGGTGGGGTAATAGGGGAGGGATAGCATTAGGAGAATTACCTAATGTAGATGACAGTGTGATGGATGCAGCAAACCACCATGGCACGTGAATACTGATGTAACAGACCTGCACATTCTGCACATGTACCCCAGAACTTAAAGTATAATAATAAAAAAGAGAATAAATACATACATACACACACACATAAAAGAGAAGTCATATCATAGCCCTCTTCTCAAAACTGTCCTCTAAATCTTCATCCCACTTGGAGCAAAGATCAGATCCAACCCCAATCCCCTGAAGCCATACCACTGACCTCATCTAGCTTCTCTCTGTCCAGCCCTCCTGGCCTCCTTGCTCTTCTGGGAACATAGACACCTTCCTGCCCTAGTGCATTTGCATGGAGTTCCCCTGCTTAGAAAGAACTTCCCCAGACATCCTTATGTCCCTCAAATCTTTCCTCAAAGGTCACCTTTGCAACAAGGCACACACTGACCACTGCTGTGCAACAGCCACCTTCCCTGTCCTCACTGCCCACATCCTGGATCACCTGCCTCACAGCACTTCCCACCTTCTAGCACTTTCCTTCCTTGCTCTGGTGATAGTGTATCCATCGTCTGCCTCTCCCCACTGAAACACATGCTCCACAAGGTAAGAGATTTTTCTGATTTTACTTCAATAGTGTTCCCCAAATGCAGAATCATTCTGTCCTATGTCTGGCAGACAACAAAGGTCGGTTGAATGAATGATCACTGTAGAGCACCTCCTATTCTAAAGAAAGTATCGTTGTTAACATAGACTCAGGCCAAGTGCTGTTTTGTGGCAGCTACAGCACAAGGTCTCCTCAAACTGATATCCAGGCCACCTGTGCTTTTCTCAGCAGGGCTGCCTGTGGTGTCCCACCTCCAACCCTCCTCCCACACCAACCCTCCCCCTCCCCCACCACACACTGCAGCACGTAATCAGGTTTCTCTCTTCAGGGAGGAACAGTCCTTCATGATGGATCCAATTTCACAAACAAATGTAAGTCTAAATTAGCCTCTGCTTTATAGTTCATGAGTTGGGATTGGAGCCAGCACCAAGATCACTGGAACCAGGACAGGGAGAGAGGGCAGGAGAGCAGAGCAGAAGAGGAGCCCTAGAAGGAGGGCAGGAGCTGAATGGATCTGAAAATTTATCTCAGAAACAGAGACTCCCATGTGCAGGGGCCACTGTGGGTGATGTATGAGCCTCTGTGGTCACAGCTCCTGCTGGACAAGTTTCCACTGAAGGGACAAGGACAATGGAGCACTGAAGCTGACCCAGCTGAGGACTGACCACATAAAGCCCATGATGGACTCAACAGCAACTGGGCACAGGCCCCGTCCACACTCGGCTCCTCACAGCCTTCTCCATCCCCACCTGCAACAGACTCAGCACAGCGAACATGCAGATCCTGGAAGGTTCTCAGGTCTTTATTTCCTCTGTCAAATTTTAGGAAATGACTTATTTAATTAACCCATCAACCTCTCATGGCAAATATTTGAGAAACAAATTTATATTCAGTTTCTTATTTTCAGTAGGGAAGTAAGAAGTTGCAGCTCAGTGCACCATGAAGCTGAGACAGAGATGGAGACACCCAGCCCCACTTCTCTGGAACAGGAAAGATGACTGGGGAGGGAACACAGGTCAGCGTGGGGACAGGGGTCACAGTGGACACGGGGTGGGCTATCTCTCCACCTCCTCACATTATGCTAACAGGGACGCAGACACATTCAGATGCCTTTGCAGAAAGAGATGCCAGAGGCTCTTGAAGTCACAGGGGAGGCGTGAAGAAATCTCGCATCTCAGTCCCACACAAGGCAGCTGTCTCAGGCTACAGAAAACAATAGTCATGAAAAAATTCATAACAGTCACAGTAAGTGATGACACTCTGAACAGTCCACCACACACTTGAAATATCCCAATCAAAGAATCCACATTACCCAGTCCTATCCCCTCTTCTTCAACCCCCACCCACTTCAGGCTCCCCAAGGCCTCACCTTTACAAGCTGTGAGAGACACATCAGAGCCCTGGGCACTGTCGCTGCCTGGGGTAGAACAAAAACAGGACCTGGTGAGAGCCCGAGGGAGATGTGGGACAGGAGGAATTATGGGGTGGGTGAGCTCCTCCACACTCCCGCCCCCACCACTTACACGCAGCCTGAGAGTAGCTCCCTCTTTCTTCACCTTTGGGAAGAAAATGTCCTGTGAAGGGACAGGGAGGAGGCAGAGCCATGAGATCTTAGAGGAACCTCCTGGTCTTGGACTCAAGAGGAGTTTCCAGAACTATGATTACAGACCCAGGGCAGGATCAGGAAACACCAGGAAAGCAGGTGTGGGTCCTGGACCAACTGCCCTCCTAAGGTCTGTCCTTAGCAGGGACCTTCCCCTGACTTGTGAATGCTGGAATCAGGACCCCAACACCGCAATCATCAAGGTGATACATCTGTCCTTCACTGTCACATGTGCTTCACAAAAGAATTAAGTGCTGGCACACAGGGCCCCAGGGTGGGTCAGCCCATGTGTGGATGGTGCTTCCCAGTAAGGAGGCAGGGAATACTTCTACCTGGGGCTTGAAACCCCCAATTGGACAAGAAAACCCACTCCTCATCCCTTCCCTACCTGAACTCTTTTTCCTACACATCACAGCAGTGACCACAGCTCCAGTGACCACAGCTCCTAGGACACCCAGGCCAGCAACAATGCCCATGATGGGGATGGTGAGCTGGGAAGACGGGTCTGGGAAAGGAGAGAAACGTAAAGGTCCCTGACCCCAGGTCTCAGTCCTGACCCTGCTAAAGGCTCCAGAAGGGCTCCTGCTTTTTCTGAGAAGAGACGTGATCCCCCCCATCCCCCTCCTTATCCCATCTCAGGGTGAGGGGCTCCGGCAGCCCCTCAAGCTGCACATGGCATGTGTATCTCTGCTCCTCTCTGGAAGGCACCACCACAGCTGCCCACTTCTGGAAGGTTCCATCCCCTGCTGGCCTGGTCTCCACAAGCTCCGTGTCCTGAGTTTGGTCCTCCCCCTCCCACTGCCAGGACAGTGTGATCTCCGCAAGGTAGAAGCCCAGGGCCCAGCACCTCAGCGTGGCCTAATGGTCAGAGATGGGGTGGTGGGTCACATGTGTCTTTGGGGAGTCTGATGGGAAGAGTCGGAAAATTCAGGCACTTTGCATCTCTCATGGGACACCCCAGCAGCACCCATGTGACCCTCCCGAGAATGAACAGGACACCTGGGATGGGGAAGGGAGCACAGAACCCAGACAGCAGCCTGGATGCAGGCACCTGGGATAATCTCCTATTCCTTGGAAAGTTGTAGCCTCTGAGGAAGGAATAGTGACTTCTGGTCCTGACTTAAGTGGAGACAGACGGACTCAGAAAAGCTGGAATCAGAACTTTAAATAAACACATTGAGTGTGAGGCAGAGAATAAGGTCTGTGAGAAAAAGTCACAGTGCCCAAGGGTGCTGCAGGGGTCAAAGGGGACCCCTGATCAGTATTCCAGGGACTGTCTCCCCTCCATTTCCTCAGAGACGTCATCCCTTAATTCTCCTAGAGAGCAGAGGGGGCCCTCAGAGGAAACTCAGGAAAACTCATGCCATTCTCCATTCAAGGGAGGTCGATATTCTAGCGCGGATCCCATTTCCCTCCCCTCCTCTTGGGAGGCCAGCCCGGGAGATCTACAGGAGATGGGGAGGGCTCCCCACTGCCCCTGGTACCCGCGCGCTGCAGCGTCTCCTTCCTGTTCTCCAGGTGTCTGCAGAGCCACTCCACGCACGTGCCCTCCAGGTAGGCTCCCAGCCTCTCAGCCTCACCAGCGGCCTCCCACTTGGGCTGAGTGGTCTGAGCCTTGGTGACCCCAGCCCCGCCCCACCGCGGTCACCAAACACCGCCCCCGCCCAGACCAACCCGTGGGGATTTCGGCCTAAACTGAAAATGCAAACGAGTAAAGGCACCTGGGGCTCTCCCGCGTCCAGGGTCTGGGCGGGTCCCGCAGCCTCGGGGTGGATCTCGGACCCGGAGACTCGGGGAGACCCGAGCAGTCCGTGGGGGATGTGGAGGGGTCGTGACCTGCGCCCCGGGCCGGGGTCACTCACCGACCTCGCTCTGGTTGTAGTAGCCGCGCAGGGTCCGCAGGTTCACTCGGAAAGTCTGTGCCTGGGCCTTGACTCTCGGTGTCTGCAGGTCCCAATACTCCGGACCCTCCTGCTCCACCCACGGCGCCCGCGGCTCTCCTCTCAGATTTGCAGCGTCGCCGTCGAACCTCTGGAACTGCGTGTCGTCCACGTAGCCCACTGAGATGATGCCGGGCTCCCCGCGGCCGGGCGGGGACTCAGAGGTGTAGAAATACCTCAAGGAGTGGGAGCCTGGGGGCGAGGAGAGGCTGAGACCTGCCCGACCTTCCTCCCAGCGCCGCTCCGCGGGTCCTGCGCCCCCGCCGGGCGGGCCCCTCGCTCCTCCCCGCAGAGGCCGTTTCCCTCCAGACCCTGCACTCACCCGCCCGGGTCTCGGTCAGGCCCATGGCCCCCGTGAGCAGCAGGAGGAGGGTTCTGGGCGCCAGGACCCCATCCTCGGAGTTGGGAAGAATGGGTGGGTGACTGGCCGCTAACGGGGACCGCGGCGACGCTGATTGGCTTCTCCAGAAACGCAGCACCCCATGGGAGTGGGAACTAATGACCCATCATGAGTATCCTGGAAGAAAGACCCGACACCTGTCGGGAGAAGTGAAACTCGGGGGAGTGGGGAGTCCCCAACAATGGAGACCCGGCTCCGGAAACCTGAGATCCTTAGAGCTACTCCCGGGACCTGGAACTTTGTCCTGATCCCTCTTCTCCTACACCAGGCCTCTTTGTCACACTGTCTGCCCGAGTCCCGGCCAAGGATCTGTCTGTGGAAACCAGGGAGGGATGCCCCAGGCTGTGCCCAGCCCCTTCCCCTTCATTTCTCCTCTTGGAATCCCCGACCCTGAACTGGACTCCCTGCCTCCCACTCCTTACCTCTCCCCTCGGACTCTTATGCAAGGAAACTCACCACAGGGAACTTGATGCCAGAGAGTGAGCTCGCCCTGGGGATGGAGGTGTAGAGACAGGGTTTTCTCTCTACACCTGGTGAAGTTTTTTCTGAAGGCACCAGATAGAGATTCTCATAGAGACCAGTTTCTTTTTTGTTTATTAATACAGTAGGTAGCACAATACTGGTAATCCCTGAATGATTAGGATTCCAATCTGTATAAGACCTGGGTCCAAAAAAGCATTACAATTAAACTCTCAAAGCTCCTAAGTTTTACTTTCCCCGAATATGAATCTGAGACTCTGAGTTGTTGCGTTTAAAATTGTCTTCATTCCCTAGTTCAAGTTTCCCTGTGTGAGTCCAGAACATCTCCTGAATACAAAGAAGCAGGGTTTCTTACTGTATATTGCAACGAGGAACCAACCTGTAGTCACCACCTCAAACTTGCGAGTGCGCCATTGCTCTTCACCGACGCTCAAGCACTGCCTGTTTTCGTGAACTATGCACGTCTAAGCAGTGTGCATATTTCATAAGCAGTGTGCATATTTCATTTGGACACTTGGTATTTTTGTAACCCTTATTTTTTAATCATAAAGAGGTCATTACTTTTTAGGAAGTCCCACAAAATGTATTAAATACAAATGCAAAGAACCGCCTGCCAAGCTCCTCCACTGCTTTAGAATTCTTTCCCCTGCTCCTTTTCCTCACTTCCTGCTCACTGGCCCTTCTCTCTGCCCCTCAGCCCCCACACCCTCCTGTCTTTAGTTCCCACTGTCCAGTCACTTCTGAGTTGTTACTGCTATGAAAAGGGACTTGAGAATTCCCAGAGGAGCCTTTCAGCCTCTTCCACGGCTCTTTCTGCCCTGTCAAAGTACAGCCAGAGCCACCAGAAATGAAATTGTACACAAGTATTTGGTGTTTTCAACAATCACTGAAATTTCTGCAAGTGCCAAAGTTACATTTTTGGCAACTCCATCAAAGCTGAGTGTACCCAGGACAGTCAACTCAGGCCCTGGACTCTCATTCTGGTTGGATTCTATGAGAACTGTATTCACCGTAAGAATTCTAGAGCCAGATCTTGCTACTCCACAATTGCCTCACGTTACAAGCAAATCTAGCCTGAGTCCTGTGGATTCCAGAGCTGCTCACGAGAAATCTCCATCCCCGAGTGGGTGACCTCAGGCTCAGCCCCCTCTACCCACTCAGCCCGCAGCCCTGTGCCAGAGAGCACGCAGTCAGAATCCTAGAGCAGCGCGGCGGCGCCCCCGTGTGGCCACAGGGCCGAGGACAGAGAACCCGATCCTCTTTCTACCCAGCCAGGTCCTTGCAGGCTCCCACTCTGCACCCAGAACCTGGACAGGGTTCTGCACACAAGGGAGCCTCCCAGCCTCTGAGTCCATCCAGCTTCCCAAAATCCATGTTGATGTGACCGTTTTCTCCCGCAACTGAGTGAATGGACTTTTCATCTCAGGGCAGAGAGAGGCTTCCAGGGCAAAACAACAGGATCAGGTCTAGGGTTGACCCACCCCCAAACCCTTGCTACCGTAAGATCTAGTCCCTCAGCCTCCAGGATAGGACCTTGGCCTCCTGTCCCCTCCCCTGTTCCCGCCGCTGCTCCTTCAGGTAAAGGCTGCTCATCCCAGCAATCAGCCTGTGAGCGCCAACCCTGGGGTCCAGGGAGAGCAGCCTCTGTCCAGGAGGCCGGAAGTCTCCAGGGAGCAGAAGGAAGAAGAAATGGATCATAAGAGAAGAAGGAATCATATCCGACACTGGAACTGTGAGTCAATTAAACATTTTTCCTTATAAAAAGAAGAAAGAAAGAAAAAGGAAGAAGAGAAGGAGGAGGAGAGGAGGAAGAGGAGCAGAAGGAGAAGGAGGAGGAGAAAAGAAAGAAGAAGAAGAAAGAGAAGGAAGAAGAGTGAGTCAGGGAGGAGAGAAAAATGGGAAGCATCCCTTTAGAAGGTGTGTGTGTGTGTGCGGTGTGTGTAGAGCAGAAGTCCCTAGGCACCTGAAGAAAAGATAGCTAAGGCCAGGCGCTAAGGGGCCCAGGGTAATAGTTCCAGGGCTGTACTTTCTAAGCTTGGACCTTACTGTCATATCATAGTCCAGCCCCACGAGGCCTGGGGTCACAGCACTGAGCTTGCTGAACGGCTGCTTCTCATTGTCTTTGACAGCAGGAGCCACCATGCCAGGCCCCGGGGCCAGAGGGTCACAGGCAAAGAGCAGGCTACTCTGCTGGAGCTAAGGAGATGTTGTTCTCGGAGGATGTGTGCGTGACTTAGGTTGGAGTCTGAAGATGGTTGTGGGTTACAAAGAGCTCAGCAATGAGCCTGGCCCAAGCTTCTGACCCCTTGCCCTGGATCCTGAGGGCTTGAACTCTCCCTATTCCCAAGAGGTCTCAAGAATTCTTCTATTAATTCCTGCCTTCTGGGAACAGCTCCGCACCTCCCTCGCTTCCATACCCTGGGACCCAGGCATCTGCCTCTTTTATTCTCCTGCAGCTACCCAAGCACCCCCAGACCCTGCTCTCTGCCAACCCTGACCCCTGAACTCCAGGGTTTTGCCACCCCATCCCAAATTGGTGGATGATGTAGTGGTTCTGTATTTAGATTTTTTTTAAACTCTCCTTACTGTTTTCTATAGTGGCCATACTAATTTAAACTCCCATCAACAGTGTGTAAGAGTTCCCTTTTCTCCGCGTCACCAGCATCTGTTTTCTTGTTTGTTTGTTTGTTTGTTTGTTTGTTGTCTTTTTAGTTGTGTCTATTCTATCTGGGGTAAGAAGACATCTCATTGTGGTTTTGATTTGCATTTCTCTGATGGTTAGTGATGTTGAGCTTTTTTTTTTTTTTCATTCCTGTTGGCCATTTGTATGTCTTCTTTTGAGAAATGTCTGTTCATGTCCTTTGCTCACTCTTAAATGAGATTATTTTGGGTTTTAATTCTTGAGTTGTTTGAGTTTCCTATATATTCTAGATATAAGTCCCTTGTCAGATAAATGGTTTGAAAATACTTTCTCCCATTCAACAGGTTATCTCTTCACTCTGCTGATTGTTTTCTTTGCTATGCAGAAGCTTTTTAGTTTATTATAGTCCTGTTGTCTATTTTCGTTTGTGTTTTCTGTATTTTTAAAGTCTTAACCATAAAATCTTTGACCAGACCAGTGTCCTAGAATGTTTCTCCTAGGTGTTCTTCTAGTTGTTTTATAGTTTCAGGTCTTACATTTAAGTATGTAATTCAACTTGAGTTGGTTTTTATATAGGGTTAGTGATAGGGATCTAATTTTATCCTTTTGCATATGGATATTGATTTTCATGTGTTTTTGACACCTTTGTTAAAAGTCAGTTGGCTATAAACATACGGATTTATTTCTGGATTCTCTATTATTCTCATTGATTGACATGTCTGTCTTTATACCAATACCATTCTGTTTTAGTTATTATAGCCTTGTAATATATTTTGCATCTGGCTTTGTTCTTTTTGCTCAGGATTGTTTTGGCTATTTCAGCTGTTTTTATTTTTTGGTTCCATAGGAATATTAGAATTATTTTTTCTAATTCTGTGAAAAATAACATTGGTATGTTTATTGAGAGTTCCTTGAATCTCTAGATTCCTTTGGGAAGTATGGTCATTTTACTAATATTAATTCTTCTGATTCATGAGGATGGAATATATTTCTGTTTGTTTGCATCCTCTTCTTTCTTTCATCAGTGTTGAATAGATTTCTTTTTAAGAGATCTTTGACTTCCTTGCTTAAACTTATTCCTAGGTATTTTTTTCTAGCTGTTGTAAATGGAATTGCTTATTTCTTTCTCAGCTACTTCATTACTAATGTATAGACATTATATTGATTTTTATATGTTGACTTTACATTCTACAACTTTACTGAATTTATATATCAGATCTAATAGTTCTTTGGTGGAGTCTGTAGGTTTTTCTAAATAAGGATCATATCATTGGAGGGAGGGGAGAGAGGCTGAAGGTTAAGCTGATAGTCAGTGATTTAATGAATCAGGCATAAGAAATATAGTTTCCATCAAAACCCAAAAGGGCAGAGTTTGGAGAGCTTCTGGATAGTTGAACAAAGGGAGGCTTACAGGAAGGTGAACAAGAGCTTAGCCATGTGCCAGGGAGGGTGGTGCATCCCAACCCAATGGGACAGAAGCTCCTGCACTGGGGACACTTCTGAACTTGCCCTATGTATCTGTTCATATGGCTCTTTATTTGTATCTTTTAAAATAAACTGTTAAATGTATGTGAGTGTTTCTCTGAGTTCTGTAAGCCATTCTAGCAAATTAATCAAACCTGAGAAGTGAGTTGTGGGAACCCTGATTTATAGCAAGTCAGTTGGAAACACAAGCAAAATAATCTGAGGCTTGAGATCGGCATCAGGAGTGGGAAGGGGACAGTCATAGGGACTGAGCCCTCAACCCATGGGATGTGATGCTGTATATAGGGAGATAGTATCAGAATTGAGTTAGAGGACACCCAGCTGGTGTCTATGACAGAACCAATTGCTTGTTCACTGGAGAAATTCCCTGTATTTCATCAGAGAAGTCTTCTATGTTGATAGGTGTTGTAGTGTGAGGGCAGGGGAAAAACGATTTGAGATTTTCCACACTCAGAGTGGTTCTAAATGTTAAGCTGCTTTTAAATTTGACTTGGTCATGCCTAACTAAATAGGATTAGATGTGAGAAATGTTTTTGATATAATGTGTAGGAAGGAACCAAAGGCTGATGAAGACAGGAGTGTTGGAATAGATGTTCTGAGTGTGAGTGCCCCCTTCATCCTCCCTGTCTCCTAAGAAACCAAAAAATACTCTCTCTGCAGCTTTAACAAATACTGGTTTGGAAGAGAGTGCCTGCATTTTTCAATAGTTCTAAATGGCTATAATTGCAGGACTTTTCTGATGCTCAGGAACGTCCTGATGTCAGTGGAGATGAAGGGAAACCAGGAAGTCAGGAGTCAGCGGAAAGGGACGTTTATCATAAGTTTTCTTCTTTTTTTAGACAGAATGTCGCTCTTGTTGCCCAGGCTGGAGTGCAATGGTGCGACCTCGGCTCACTGCAACCTCCGCCTCCCTGGTTCAAGCGATCCTCCAGCCTCAGCCTCCCGAGTAGCTGGGATTACAGGAATGTGCCACCACCAGAAAAAAAAAGGGGGGGGCCTGGTTCTTGGGCAGAAGGAGGCCTAAGGAATGACAAGACATAGGACCCAGGCATAGCAGAAGAGAAGGTCATGGAGGGGAGGAGTTCCAGCATCTGAGAACCTGGTTCCCTCTCAGAGTTTGTGTCCTCACTCGGTTCACCATCCCCAACCCCAGCAGGAACAGGGAGAAGTGACTTGGCAAATCCCCCACTCACGATGGGATCCCTCAGCCAGAGACCATTTTCGAAAGTCAGTTTCCCCTGACTATAAAAACAGGACATTTACCCTGTTAGAAGTTAATGTCTGCAAGTAACCTCCACCTGGGAAATGCTGGTTCATGGCAGGGTCTCCCTTTTAGCAATGAGAACAACTTCTGGCTAATTGACAGCTAATAAGTCATTTAGAATCCTGTTCATGTAAAAAGATTACCTACTTAAAGCATTAACTCCATTATAGTTAAGGACACACATCCCACACCATACAGCCAGCGTCATTTTTGAGGAGATTGCTTTGATTTGCTCGTGTAGAACGTTACTCTACTGCCTTGCAGAGAGGCTTGCCACACGTTTCAGATCTCTGCTTCTCATTTCACACTATCTGGCTCATGAGGTGAAGGTGATGAGAAGTGTCTTCAGACGGTACTCCGAGGTTTGTCTGTCAGCATCACAGTCATGTATTACATATAGAGATTATTCTCTTACATGTTACAATTTAGGGATTATTCTCTTAGAAGTTATCATTTATTGATATATATTTTAATCATGGCATAGATAGATGCTACCCAGCTATTTATTTTTATTACCTCTATGTTACACTGCTTAGGTGGCCACTACTGGTACCTCTGCATTTTCTTTCTCGTATGCGACATTAACATATATGATTGTATATACATGTGGCTGGGCACAATGGCTCACGCCTGTAAACCCAGCACTTTGGGAGGCCAAGGTGGGTGGATTGCCTGAGGTCAGGAGTTTGCAACCAGCCAGGCCAACATAGTGAAACCCCATCTCTACTAAAAATACAAAAAATAAGCTGGGTGTGGTGGTGTGTACCTGTAATCCCAGCTACTCGGGAGGCTGTGGCAGGAGAGTCGCTTGAACCCAGGAGGCGGAGGTTGTACTGAGCCAAGATCGTGCCATTGCACTACAACCTGGGTAACAAGAGCGAGATTCTGTCTCAAAAATAGATTGTATATACATGGTGACTTGGTTTCCAGGAATTGCTGTTTAGACCATTCCTTCCACTGAGTACAGTGGGAAAAGGAGGAAAACATACTTACTTGAAAAATCTGGTTGAGTAAATGGATGGGCTAACAAGCGGTGAAGATTTGCCACATCAGGAGAGCAACCTGAGCCGTGGGGCTGCTTCTGTGGATCAGAGTCAGTGACACCTGCTTCCTGGCCAGAAGCCAACTTCCAGGATTCAGGACTCAGGATTCAGAACTTAGACGGTCTCTTGGTCTCTCTAGAATTCAGTGCTCATTTAGCCAGGGCTACGACCCTTCCACTCAATGGGTTGGAGGATCCAAGCTTACGGTATGACTGCCTCTGGAGCATTTCATGCTAAAGAAATCCCAACAGGTGTAGGTAAATGGTCTAAAGGGTTCCAGCCAGCCTTCCATGGAACTCTGCATAAGGCACCTCCCTGTGTTGTTGTTTCTGTTGGCCATGTCCTCAGGAATTTAGTGAAATGGCCATGTAGTCGCTGAGTGAAAGTGGTGGGGGGGGTCCCTGGGCGGTGAGAAGTTTTGTGACCTTGCATCTTTTCCTTCCATCTCAACCAAAGACCACTTGTGAAAGCCCAAAATCACATGTCATTAAATGTCAGAGGTGAATCCATGACCACGGATTCATTGTGCCCAGGAGCCTTGGGCCATGTGGCCCAGCAGTAATGAAGTCTATGAGGCCTTGGTCAACCTCAAAGTGCTGCCCGACAAGCAGAGAAAAATTTAAGAGGAGCTGCCGCTCATTGCCATCAGGCACCCCAGGAGCTGAACATGGCATTCATTGTAATTTCTGATGAGGAACTGGAGAGGTCC